CGGTTTTTAAGAACGAATGTTCTCAATTCAAGAACAATGTTCTCAATTCAAGAATAATGTGATCAATTCAAGAACAATGTTCTTAGATAGTTTTCTCTGTGTGCGCATAAATAAAAGTTCGTTTATTACACTTTTGCGGCATTTCGGCAATTTTTTGAGACTAGAACGCATCTCACGCATTTTTCTAATAGCTGGCACGCTTTAACGGCGATGCCAGCTATTAGATATGGACCAATAAAGAATACGACCTTTTGCCTGACCATAAATACAAAGTGGGAGATATATGCTTGACCATTACTCTGACTGGCCCAATAAGTAAATAAACCTAAAGAGTGCATCGCGTCGACATAATTGAATTTTCTCTTGTTTGGATATAAATATTCTAAGCACGTTGCACACTAAAAGAGTTGAACGTGAAACCGAGGCGAACACGTCGAAGATGAAACATTCGTCAATTATGCAAAGTGCATTGAACTATCTGGCGACCCTTAGGGAAAAATATCTTCTAGTGAATCGTCAGTGCATTAAAAACAAAGATTTTTCTAACTGCAGTTAATTCAGTTATATTCGTTAGTTGGTTGTAGCAAACTCCTGTCACTTTTAATGTGAAAAACTAACTAAATAAGAACGCAAGATTGGATTGCCTACCTATTTTTTTCTGCACGAGTGTAGTTGGATAACCTTTTGACTCAATCTTTCCGAAAAAACTGAACAAGTAGGGACCGGAAACAACACTGTGTTACAAAATTTGACCTTTAAATATTTAGCTTAATGGATGGTAAAAAATCGTATTCGCTTTGAGAGCCCATTTTAAAATGTGTTTGCCAAAAAATTGCCCTACACAAGGATTTTAAGAAAAAGGACCTCAAAGTTGAAAAGTGCTGTTATTTGTTTTTTTATAAGCTGCAGATTCTTGGTTTGTTAATAAAAAAATAAACAAACAATAATTTTATAATTTTTTTATTAGTACCCCCGCCATTTATGTTTATAATTGTCTTGGTGTCATTTATCTTATACAATTCGTCGAATAGTATTATTATAATCAATAAAATTTAAAAAGATAAAATTACATTAAACAAAAAAACAAACTTCTAAATATAAACGGCGATGGCACTCCTATTATGTTGACCGCAGCTGTATGTCTATGAAAATGTCTTCTTTCGTTTATAGCTCCCTTCAACAAATTCTACAATTATTTTGAGTAGGGGGCTTGAAAGATAAAGAGTGGCATTTTTCAAATGCTTTGACGAACTATCGACCCAAGAATTAGTTCGACTGTAATTGCGTTTGAAATATAGCAAAAACAGATTTCTTCCAACTTTGACATTCATTTTCTCTAAATCCTTGGCCAGGGGAACTTTTTGGTATGCACAGTTTAAAATGGCGATTCAAGGCGAATCAAATTATCTTACAGCCATCGGAGTAAATTTTTGATGCTAACAGTGTAAATAATATTAATATACTTTTTTCCAAGCAAAAAAAACATGGCTAAAGAACAATCCTAAAAAAAGAGGCAACTATACCAGTATATTACTTATGAATCAATTCAATATTCTGACTTTTTTTCAAATATTATTATTATTTTATTATTTTAATTTATTATTATATACTATTTGAGTTTAATATAAATAAATTATTTGTTGTGCTTTATTTAAAATCTTAAAATAATGATTATTCTATGAGTTTTATTTAAAATAAAACTATACGTTGAGTTTTATTTTTTTTGATTGAAAATAAAATTCGATTTCCAATTTCTACTTATTAAGGACCGATGCCTGTGAAAATGATCAGAAAATAACTAAGTCGACTACGGCCAACACTTTGAGATTAATGATAATTAATCTGCAGCTCCACAGCTAAATGACTACCTTATAAATCCCCTACGGCGACGGTGGATGCACGCGCGAGGAAGTTAACTTCGGCAAGCCGAAGTTTGTATACCCTTGCACGGACATGGCTAAATCGACTCGTCTAGTGATGCTGATCAAGAATATATATACTTTATGGGGTCGGAAAAGTCTTTTTCACTGCGTTGCAAACTTCTGACTGAAATCATAATACCCTCTGCAAGGGTATAATGAAAGAATCTTACGATTATATCATATAGCTGCCATATGAACGGTCAAATGATTAATGGGAAAATAGAGAAAAATAATTATTGCTTTTTTATTTATGATCATATTCTCCTTTACTTCAGCATGAAGCAATTTTTAATAATTAAGAGTTATGATTTCAATTAAAGAGAAATCGAATTACTATAAAAAGGATTAAGATTCCGGCTCAAAAAAGAAATTTCGGTAACATGCTCGGATTGTTTCCATGCATGCAGATGTTTGAGATTCTGGCGCAACGCAGTGGCACTTAATGTTTTAATGCTCGGACTTTTTACTGTTAACAAATTTGCTGATTTTCTTACAGTGAGCTGACATTTTCCATATGCCCGCTAAATGAGAGGCTACGGTCCTCTGATGTCGAATATTGGTAACACCTTTTGGTGCTGAAATATAAAATCTATCGCCTCTGATAGCCTTCAACCAGTAAAAAAATTTTGTCGAATGGCTCATTTAAGAGCGAATCAGATATCGCCGGAAATCACCAACAATTCGGACATTGGTCGCCCATAACTTGTGCACTTGATCTTGCACCCAGATCTTTGTGAAGAATAGACATATTTTGATGTCAAATGGATTTATACATGAAGCGTTTCCATTTTTTCCTTTCACTGAACGCTAATTTGCATACATTTCCCTCGGAACCAAAAAATTCTGGCACTTTGTAACTTTTCTTCCTCTGGTCTAGTTTGTAAACATTTGTTGTGCAGATTTATGGCTGGATATGTGGAACCGCATTACCACGTGAGCGAAGCTAAAAATAAAAAACCAAGCCAAAAAAACTAAAGAGAGCAGAGGATGGAATTTGATTTAAGGCCTGACACTGCTTGTAGGATGTTTTCATATTGGATATGCTCCGTGCATGTGCATATGCCACTACCATATACCCTATAAGTTGGAAATAAATATACTACATTGTTATTAGTTATATAAAATTACAAAAACTGTAATAGGGTATCGAAAATTGAATAAAGCCTTGTACCTTATACATTAAAGACGCTGAGTTTAACAATTTCTTTCCTTTCTTCTAGATTAGGATTTCTAGAACATTTCATGAACTGTGTACTCATAAATGTACCTGCGAATACGGAAAGGGTAAGTCCCTTAAATCCAAGCCGTGTAATTGCTTGTTTGGCAAGTGTAAGTTACACCATTGCACATTCGGCTAGACATTGTGGCGCAATGTAGTTCAAGGCAGCCGAATACTTAGCCTATAAGTCTTGTGCTGGGATTTCCTCCACCTTGGAAGACCTACCTGCCCAGAGCCACCCTGCTTTCATTCTCATTCTGGGCACTCACTTAGCAGAGCATTTTCACCTGCGATGCGTTTATAATGGAAGGCGGGAAGGTATGAAAAGCTGCGAGCGACACATCGCGTATACGCCACGTTGTGCATAGTGGTTTGGAGGATGAGCAGGTGGGCGGGGGAAGGAGCATTGCGTGTTTGTTTTTTGCGTATGCATATTCCACTTGCTGGCTTTCCTGCTTTTCATGTTGTCATTCATTTGTTTGACGACTTTTGTTTGCTGGCAATCAGCCAAGGCTAATAAAAGAACAAAATAAGCCAAATAAAACGCTTCACCAACTAGTTTCAGTTGAATTGTGTTGACTAAATAGCATTTTATTCTATTTAAGGTTCCGTCAGTTAGATTAAATTGAGAACTCTAGCCTTGTGGTTCCTGAGAAAGGGAAAGTAATGGAAATTGATTGAACTGTGTGACTAGAGACTCTTTGTGGGAATTAACAAAGTATCTTTAGGTAGGGTTACTATTCTTGCCAGTTTTCCTAGTAGTTGTAAAGGTTGCCTCAGGATGAGGAGCTGCTATTTCGCGACAAATAAAAGTATTGCCAGTACGCGATACACAAGATACGTTGTGATTAGCGATCTCTTCCTTCTACCCAGTTATGAGAACGACGGGTGGAATCCTCTAGTGCCTTAGCTCTTTCGGCGATGGGGTGGGTCTGTGTGCCGTCTCTAACTGTCCATACATACTTTAATTTTTAGGATTCCTACAGAAACCACTTTATAGACTTAACATTGAAAAGAAACGAAGAAAAGAAAAAAAAAAGAGAGAGCCAAATTTAAATATACTACTGACAGGCTAACGTTTCACAAGGTCTTAGCTGATATTCGACACTTGCTTTCTCTACCCACCCAACCATAACCTTTTCGGCTATTTGACGAAGATACCCAAGAGATACTTCCGATTCATAATTTAAGTTGCCATGTCAATTCAGGAAACAACACACCTTTAGCCGTTCATGATTTTCTTCAAGGTATTATACATATTTATTTGCAAAGGGGCGTTTGTTGATTTAACATTTTCTTTCTTTCCGATAGGTAGTATTTCATTATCGTTAGTTGAATCTGATTCATTAGTGTCTACCGACACCAGAAAATTTAACAAGATTTCTTACGTATGTACAAAGTATTTGTTCGCCGGATTAAATTTATGGAATTGGATATCGGCAACATTCTTGGGACTTACAACTAAGTATTAATTCCTATAAGCGCTTACAAACCAAGGTTCGAAGATTTGAGTGATATGGTGGCTAAACAGCATTACGATTCGGTTTTGGGTCATTATTTTTCTTGGGGGGGTTCGGAGTTATTAATATTGTGGAACCGAGCGAATCTCGTTTTTTAATTCGCACGAGATTAATGATACATTTGGGTTTGTTTCTTTCTTTAGGGTAGAATACTTTTTAGGTAATAATCTTTATAAGCTTGTAAGCGGTCACCAAGCTCTCGGTATATATACGCAAAACAGAAAACTAATAAAGCTCCCGATCGGAGCTTACACCACGTGTGGGAAACACACGAGAGATTGGATCGACTTACAAATAGATCACAAAATAGGTGTGCAAGGGCGCATAACTATGACTCACATGGTTAAACTTCCAGCGTTGAAAGGCCTTCCAGCGTGATAGTGATGAGACGGTGTTGTTGTTAGCTGTGAATTCTATTTTGGCATCTACACTAATAAAGATTATATGGGCAAACGATGATTTTGGTTCAGCGATGGTCGGGTTCCACAAATTATTAATTTCCGCAACCACTACTCTTAAAATATTTTTCTTTGTTAGAATGCTACGTAGAGTTAGAAGAGTCTCTGTTCTTCAGGGGTCAGTCGCGGTTCCTAGGGGGGTAGTCAATCGACTCGCTGTTCTGCTTCGAATCTGCTACGGTATTCCTCCGGGGCGTTAATAGATGGGACTGCCTTGACTGCCGGTATTTGGTGGGGACGGATAAGACCTCCCAGACCCGTAAAATCCCTACGCCAGACGACTAATACTGGCTCATGAGATGGTTGGCTTTAGCCTTTTAGTGTTAGCAAGCCGCTGGCGTATTGGAGCTTGAGCCCGGGCAGCCCTCGAACTGCCAAGAAAGCTGATTTAGTTTAGAATACGAATATACCAAAAAGGTGGCCCATACCTATGATCTAAGAGGTTTTTCCAGGAAGTGAAAATAAAGCAGCAGCGGAAGAGATCTTCCGGAAATGTTTCCACTACTTAGCACGTGTTTGGGGCACATGAGATTATGCCATTCCCGAACGGACTGCAATCTGCCACATCCGATAGGAAATTCTCTTTCACTTATGCAAAAACGATCATGGTTTGGGTTTTGTGCAATTTAATTGGCGTGCTATACTTTATCAATGGCGCGTCGACTTAACCTGGTAGCGTTTTTTTTTTTTTAAGATCAATTAGACGACGGTCGGAGAAGAATACTTTTGCGGGTTGTGAAAGAGACTGATTGCAGTCCGCGTGGGCGTTTATATACCGAAAATTTCCAGACTCTCAAGCTTTCTTTCTTGGAACGTCATGGAAATTTGAACCCAGTTGGCGGCACTGAACAATGCAGCTGATACGCAAAAGCTAAGCTAAGATTACCCCTCGCTGCCGTAAAGTATACTTTAATAGGGGTTTGCGAAAACTATTGTTTTTGGTTTTTCTGGCTGAAAAATGATAGGCGGGCATTCCGTTCAGAATGACGACCATTACATAGTCGACGGTGACTTGGGACCAGCGGAGCCAGTGGGACTCCTCTGTTTGGAAATTTCATCGGTCTGCCTGGAAAACACGAAGCGATGATACTGTCTGGCCAAATTTGAGCACTGCAGAGGTTCGTCGGGATACCGTTGATAGCAGTGTATCAGTTCCTTCTCGAACTTTCCGATCTCGCCTTCACAGTCCTTGGCCCATTTTACGGGCTTCCCAAAGAGGTCCTGAACTCGCTGCAAGGACTTTCCAAACTCAGTTTCCTCAACCTCAAGGGAGCGCCTTTTCCAGGACTTGGCTACTTTTACAGGAGTCATGTCCTGCACTTCATTCGGCTTGTGTTCCATGGTAGTGGGAGAATCGGAACGCGCTCCTACTGTGGGCCTTTGACTGCATTTTTCGCTGATGGTAGTCCCCTGTTTAGTGGATTTGGCGGTGGCCTGATCGATCCTATGCACCACATCCCGAGTAATCTCAAAGGGCATAGGATTTGCCATCTGCACAGTCTGCGGCTTGCTGTTGCTGGCACCCATTTTTTAATATTTTCTGAGAGCTTGCTTCGACTTTTCAGTTTATATCTATTGCTCCTTTATGGAGTGACAGATAATTTGAAATATTTGACCTCAAATGCGAAGCCTTACCTTTGGTTTCTTCCCTAAACCGTTCGTTCTATCTTTTTGTAATTAATGCGACTCAAATGCATTCGACCAACAAAAAACTTAATTTCCTAACCTTTTTTATTCGGCCAGCTGTCAGATTAAATCATTTTGGCTGTACAAGTATTCAACATGCTGAGTGTCGATTTGTTTAGTCGAACTGTTTATCATTTTGGTCAAAAAAAATGTATACGAATGTAACGATTTGGATTATCTCGTAGTGCTCGTAAAGTGGGTCACTAAGATCTAAGCTTGAGACACAAACAAAGAAGGCTTCGATTTTTTTTATATTCATGCCAAATTTTACTTGTTGCATTTATTTTTACACGATGTTTTGATTTCATATTTAACATACGTCATAAAATTTCTCATATAGGATACCTCCGATGTCGACTAAGTTGTTAATTAGGACACTCTTTGTCATATATTCGGATCTGCAAAGCGGCGTCAACTTTTAATATATTAATACAAATTGGGTCATTGAGTTCTCGTTGAGAAGTGCAATCTCGACTGGCAGCATCACTAGCACCATGAAAACTATATATAGTTAAACAAATATACATCAAATATTACCTTCAATTATCCATGCCCCACAAGGAGTGTTTTGAGTGTTTTAAAATATCACAAAAAGTAGAGAATTTAAAAAAATGAAAAACGATTACTCGTTTAACACAAGATTCGCTTCAGAAAAAAATTACATTAAAAATCTCGTGAGCGACCAATGTCCAAATAATTCCTAATTCTTCAATTAATGGCGTTCAAATCTTAAATTTTTAGTGTCGTCTTTTAGAGTTTTAATGTGTTTAAGTTAGCCGTTTAGTCGCTAGGGTCAAAAACTATTCTTGACCGTTAACTATATCTGCCTCTTTCCCCTACATGCTTTTTAAAGAATAAACTTAAAATAATGAACAGGAAAGAAATGTGTTTCCTCGAACTTTAAGTCCCTGTACCTCGAATATTCTACTTGGCAGATGGAAGTTCGAAGCTCGATCGACTTGACTTGCTGACTGGGTTAAAATGTAAGCAAGTTGTAAAATATTTTACCACCTTTCCCCACTGCACCACGTGTTCTTTGAAGTTCATTGTTTTTCTGCTGAATAAGAACGAAATTGTAGCTGTGGCAGCCATATAAGGTTGCAGCTTCTGGCACGTGCCCCTGTCATTAGCCCCTCCTCACCTCAACTAACACTCGTTTGCGGCATCTTAATTGTGCTGTCAATCATTTGCATATTTGCACAGATCCAACAACAAATTTATACGGGTTAAAAGATAAATAAAATTAAATAAATTTGTGATGGTCAAGCGGAAGCACAGTAAATTGTAATGGGAAATGAATTTAAATATATGCAAAATGAGCTCAACGAGGATGCTGAATGTATGGGTGCTGGAAAATGACAAATCATGCGAAATGGCTGAGAGGTCGTACTAACTGAATAATATTTATTGATTGTTTATACTTGATTGCTCGTGAGCAATTTACACAGCATCCAATTAAATGATTTGGCAGAAAGGAAGGAGAGATTTTTCGAATGCCAATTTGGCATAGTAATTTTTCATCAATTGCTCAAAGTCAACGGGCAAAACGATTAATTACCAGCGCCAAAAATCTTCTTGTTTTGGATATTTAGAATGGCGGACCAAGCACACATTTTAACGTTAAACAAATTTTTAGGGGAATAAACTATTGTGGATGGTGTGATTGCAGACAATCGGCTTGTATACGCCATCCAATGCTTTAAAGAGTGGAAAAAGCTTAAATCTCCAAGGCAGGTGATATCTTAGCAAGAAATTGTGTACTTGTTTATTAGATTGTAGTATGAGATTATAATGTATTCAATTTTTACAATCCGAAAGTAAGATTTACTTAGTTTATAAGACAAATGGAAAGCTGATTGAATTTAAAGTGTTTGCAGAAAATCTATAAATCTACATGAGCAAAAAAATAGAAATCGGTATCAGAAATAGAAATATGTATCTAGTAAGGGCGCTGATCAATTGCCATATGAGAGATCCGGATTTCTCATCAATATTAAATGCTTTTGTACATTGCCTGCTGTTTTGAACAAAATAGAGCTCTAGAGAAACATGGTACGAAAATATACTCAATGGATGTACATAACATCGACTGAATTAAAACCACAAGCTTTATTAAACAATAGAAGATCAGAAAAGTATTTTTATGGGACAGATTGAAGGGACGAAACGTAAAAATGCATTCCAATTTTATTACGAAATTAAATTACCCATATTTAATAAGTAACAGCGCATTTTGATTTGCGGTTAGCCATAGACTTTGCCAAAGGTCTTGATTTTTATGCCATCCCCTCTGAATCCCTGCACATTTTCCACAGCAAAGTTAATGGCTAACAGTTGAGCCAGAGGCATCATAACCTCTGTGCCTGTTGCTGACAGGCCCTCGAATGCGGCTTAAACACCATGGTGGCAGAAGAGCGACAAAGAACCAAATTACCTCCAGGTAATCAGCGGCAGTTTACGTTTGTTCGGTCCACTAAACTTTTACGGCCGGTCCACCTATCTTGTGAATTTATCTGCGAACCGCACGGAAGATGACTTTCGCTCCATCTTAATGACAGCTGGTCTGATAGCAGGATCTGGCCTGAGGCCGGCATATTTGCAGCGCGTCCTTTATGTCTCATTAAAACTTTACGCACATCAGAAGCAGCAGTGGCAAAAAGCTTAATAGTTTAATTTCCCGACAGGAGACCCAAGACCTCAGAATGGGTCAAATGAAAAAAGGTAGTTGAAAGGTAAAAACAAAAGGTAACCAAAATAAAGAGAAACGGCCAACATTTGGTTTTAGTTTCTTGGTAATAAATCTTCTTTTCTGCTGACATGTGAGTAATCATGTGCGAGGTGGGGTTGGTCCCTGAAAGCAGGAATCAGTGCTATGTTTTTTTTTACTTTTATGCTTAACCCGAAGTATGCTTGTACGCTTTGCTACGGTTTCCTTTTCCCCTTTCTTTCGGTGGACCTAATTTACTCAGCCTTACACCACGCACAATACATAAATCGCTTTTAAACATTTTTAAAAATTACATTTTCTTTGTTATGAGTTCTGTTTTCCTTGCACTTAACTTACGCATTGTTGTCTTCATTGAATAAACTGACCAATACATTTACCTTAAAAAAATTAAATTCTATGGCCATAGTACTATGAATAAAGCATTTATACTAATAATAATCATTTGTAACAGACATTCATCCGTCTTACTTACTTGTTCTAGATCTACAGATTTTTGTGAGTTTCTAAATCCATGTGGTGCACAACAATATTAGTTTTCATTATTAACACGTACTATTTTTCATGATTTTCATTAACACACTCAGTGGTTTTACTCATTACTCCACATTTTTAACTTTTAATAAGCTACAACTGCATATATAACTTTACTGCTTTTGCAATAATAACTTCAACCTAAGCCCGCATGTTGCAATCGTTCTTCAACGCCAAATGTAATTCTTAAGTACTTGTACATTCGGGTATTTTACTTATATTGTATGCTATATTTTACGATTGATTTCTGTATTTCTTTTTTTCGGTGACACTTAAAGTTTTGTTATTTCACATTTAATTAATGAAACTATTTATTCTGCTCGAGTACTTTTAGTTGAGGAGAGCGCTTTGGAACGAACGCATCGCGGCAAAATTTCAAAACAAACTGATTGTGTGAATTTTCCGAACTGGTCCATTGAGTCAGAAAAGCAAGTGGAAAACAGCAGCAGCGACTTCGTAGTCGGCATCAGCTCAATTTGCTCTCTTCGGCGCTCCATTCGCGAACCGCTCTCTTGTGCTAAACAGTGGGAAATTTTCCTGGTTTTGTTTGGGAAATTTAGCGTGGAAATGCTGCTGTTTCTGCTCGCTGCGATGGGCGGGAAAAGTGGCACGTGCTTCTGCTTTGGGCCGTCAACGTCTGCTACGTGATTCTGGCGGGTCCCTCTCCTTCCCGAGTCTTGTGTACTTTATGAATGAGTTACATACACGCACACATGCCTAGAGAAGGCCAGAACTGAACGGAACAAATAATCACTGGTCGCCCGCTTGACAGCCTTCTAAACAGAACCTATTTATATGTACACCCTTTCGGAGGGTATTACGATATCAGTCAAAAGTTTGCATTGCAGGGAAGGAGAGGAAACGAGCCGGATCAAACAGTCATGTTATTTAGCCGCCATATGAACGATCGGAAAAATAAGGAAACTTAATTGGTGTACTAAGAAGCTCGAGATATAAATCTTTTTTACGACTTTTGAAAAATCCGATAGTTTGGCGGAAAATCCAAGGAATGACACAGATCTTTAAGGCCTATACAGTCAAAATAAATTTTACCCTACATTTTAGAAAATCGACATTAAAATTTCTTTTCTCTAAATACAAGAAAGTTATTTCTAAAGCTAGGGAAATTTTTTTTAAATCAAAATAGTTTTTCTTAAATAATGAAAGCTTTTCTTAAAAGTAGGTTTGAATGGTTACCATGAACTAAAATCACCCTAAAAATAAGAAAAAATGGCTTTAAATTAGGAAATTATTTTCTAAAAAATAGAAAGTCTGTCACAAAAATAAAATTGTTTTGCAAGCCCTAAAATGATTCTTACCCAAAAAAATATACAAATTTCAATCAAAAATAGAAATTATTTAGAAAATATAAACGTTTTCTAAAAAATAGAAATACTTTCTAAATAATAGGAACACGTGTTAATTCTTAATATTAACATTATATGTTGCGTGAGCAACACCACAATTTTATTGGGAATTGTATTCTGTTACTTGCGACTGTTTATACATATGTACACATGCATATAAGGTAATAAACCTAGAAATGGCCAAGTGAATACTCCTGTTAGATTCAGAATTTTTTTGTTTACGAAACTAAGTTTAAAGGGGTGGGAGAGGTGAGCGGCAACTTATCGATAACACTCACGGTCTTTGCCCAATTCCACCATATTTAAATTAAGTCTAGGAATATATGTATAATGTTTAATGATTACTGATGAATGGGACTACAGTGTATTTGTTTATGCTATGCTTATTATTGCATTTATTTCATTGTTATTACTCGCTGGCGATATCTGAGGAAAGCCAAACGTGAGGATGAAAAATATCGATAGTTTTATCAATAACTTACGATAACAAGTATGGTCGCGAACGTAGCTTTGGTCCATCTCTAAGACTTAGACCGCATGTTTTTTTTCGTTTCGCAGTTCTTAAAAGTGTTACCGATTACAAGTGAAATCGCCCAATACAGATCTTATGGTAGAGCTGTAAAAACATCGATAGTGCCCCTACTCGATGTTTTCGATAGTGATAGTCCAAACCATCGATATTTTCGATAGTATCAATCAAATTATTATTTAATTTTTTATTTTGTATTTTAAGCCTATTTGCTTTCAATTTTTTTAATTGCGAGGTATGAATACAGCTGCGACAAAAACCATACAATGTATTAAACTATTGAACACACATAAAAACAAATAGGTTAAAAATTTAAAAGATTTTGATTATAATAATTACTTATATTTGTTTTTTATTCATAAGTTAGAAAACTTAAAAATTCTCGTATGCTTTAAAAAGTCGTTATAAGCCATTATCGTTTGCCTTCTGATGCTAAAATCGAGAACATTAAAACTATTAATGAAAAACCAAGCACATTTCATAAACATGTTTTTTTTATTGATTATAATTATAAGCGAAAACATGATTATAAATTAAAGTTAAGAACCAGTTAAGATAAAAATGATTATAATGAAATTAACAAAAGAGAGATCATCAGTTCCTCGGGAATTACATGACATTGATATAGTTGATTATAAATTAAATAAAGTTAAGAACTACTTGAGATTATAATGAATATAATGAGATTAACAAAAGAGAGATCATCCGTTCCTCGGGAATCGTTGTTGATTACGAATTAAACATTTTCACCATTTTTCACTTTTCATAAATTTTTCGTTTTTTCTGGAACGACGCTTCTGCAACTAGTGATGTTAAATAAACGCGATACATCGATGGTGGAAAAAAGAATCGTGGTATCGCGCAGCCCAGCCACTATCGATACTATCGATATTACTATCGATGTTTTTACAGCTCTATCTTGTGGATACTTAGCTCCAAAGTCTAAACTGAGAAGCGTTATCTTCTATATTCTCGGGTAAGTAGTTTAATTTAACTAAAAATACAAACTTAGTATTAATTATGAACGCATGCTATATCTGAACTTTGGAGAAGAAAGCTAAAGATCGTTAAGCAGGGAGCAATTTAGGATGGAAATTCCGAAGGAATTAGTAGGGCAAGCGGTAGTTGTTTTCCGAGCTGCAAAATTGGAAACGCCGAGTGAAATCAAACTTTGAACATTAATTGTTCGGTCATTTATGCATTAATTTTATTCATTCTTTTTTTAACGAAATTGTCTTTAATAACGTTTTCTTTCCAGAAATATTTAACAGGGGGTTGTATCTTATTTTTAATTTTAAACTTAGCACTACGAAAAAGTGTACGTTAAAAAGTCTGCGTACAGCTGTTTAAAGTCAAGTGGAATGCAACATTGTGCGATTACCTCTAAGATTTCTGGCGCCGATCTATCTTCTGCAGATTGTCTATGCATGTAGGTGTTGAGCAGTTGAAACTAAATTTTTTCAAATCAAGTTCAGAAGAATTTTAACATTTATATAACATTTATTTATTAAACACCAATATTAATTTTAAATATTTTTATAGAAAACATATTTCATAAAAATTGTTGGCAAGCAACCAGGAGGTATTTAATACAGTAAAATCTATAATTTAAAAGCCAAGGCAAAAAAGCAGTCTGCTGTTCAATTCAGCGGCACTTCCAACGTGAAAAATACTTGCCCGAATCCAACTGATCTGTACGAGGATGTTCAATATAGAACCACGAAACGAAGTTGATGAAAAGTGGGCTATTACATTTGAGTGGCGTCAAAGTTTCCTGTCGACGACTGCTACACTAAGCACAATTATTAAAAAAAATTTAAAACGGTGTCTCTCTCTATATTTCTCAGAGTATACATTCTTTAATCAAAGCGAAGGTAAGAAAAAAAAAAACTTTACAAGACCAAGCATACTTTTACTTTACGAGAAAATATGTTTAGTGTCGTTTCTAGCCCGCATGTTAAATTTAAAGTAGTCTTTAAACCTTAAAATCGTATGGGAATTCAGTGTTTTACACCAAATTTTCATAATTCAATCTCTTGTTGTTAATTATACTGTGTTACTAAATAAACAGTTTACTTATTTACCTCGATGGATACCTTAAAATTGTTATACCCGTTACTCGTAGAGTAAAAGGGTATACTAGACTCGTCGGAAAGTATGTAACAGGCAGAAGGAAGCGTTTCCAACCACATAAAGTATATATATTCTTGATCAGGATCACTAGCCGAGTCGATCTATCCATGTTCGTCTGTCCGTATGAACGCTGAGATCTCGGAAACTATAAAAGCTACAATTCTGGGACTAGGCATGCAGATTCCTGAGATTCCTGCGCAGCGCAAGTTTGTTTCAGCAGAGTGCCACGCCCACTCTAACGCCCACAAACTTCAAAAAATCGTAAATATGATCTCGGAAACTATCAAAGGTAGAGCATTGGGATCTCAGATTTACATTCCCTAGCCTTGTACACAGCGCAAGTTTGTTACGCGAATATGCCACGCCCGCTCTAACGCCCACAAGCCGCCCAAGCCTGTGGCGCAATACAATGAAATGTATTGGTCTCGTCAATACCTATCGATTGATCCAAAAAAAAATTTGCCACGCCCACTCTAACGAACATAACGCATAAATCTGTCTACCGCCGGTAGGTGGCGCATTTCAATCTCACTTTGCTGCTTGCATATCTCCATTTCCCATTGGGCCTTTTAGCTGAGTAACGGGTATCTGATAGTCGAGGTACTTGACTATAGCGTTCTTTCTTGTTTTTTGTTGAATTTTGTGAACTAGAAGTTGAACCAGTTAATTTGATCAATTTAAACGAAGAACTGAAGTAGTCATGTTTTTTAGGTGTACAGTTAAATTTGTATTATATATTCTTCTATTCTGTTTACAAAAAAAAATCGACGAAATACGCCACGAAGGCGAACTTGGTTTTCCGGTAAGGTACATCTCCCTGATTAAGAAAAGGGCACTTAACATTTCTTGTATGGTACCACTTGTTTTCAAAGTGAAAAAAAGTTTTTCGCACTTTTTATTTTCTAACTCGAGTTCTGATTAACCGAATTCGTTCATCAAAGACTCATTTTACAGGTAATAATGCCCTTTAACTTTCC